GTAATTATGTTGGGTACTGAAAGCAAAAGTAAATTTGAGTTTGCAAATTGCCTACTGGAACATCACGATAACAAAACTATGTTAAGTTTAAATTAACAGCTATGGAATGATAACAATTATGTTTGACTGATGGAGACATTGCCATTTCTGATTATATCTCATACAAATAATTTGAACATATTTATTATATTTTAATTGGGACTATTAGGTATTTATTCAGTCTTTAATAATGTAACATACTTTTATCTTAATTTGAAAAATAAAGGAAATATTGGGACCTTGGATATGATTAAATCACAGTAATGACTGGGTCTCCTAAGATAAGAAAAATGTCTCAAGTATATTCTAAGTGATGTAGTTTTCCTGTTACTGTGAATTTAGTGGGGACATCGAAACTCAAGTGAAGAGATTTTATTCTAATGAAAACAAAAAATATTTTCTTGTTAATTTGGTGTTGGGAAATTTTATAGAAGAATGTGGTAACATTTGAAACATTAGACAATTGCTAAACAAGATTTTAGTACAGTGGTAACTCAGATAAAGAGAAATAGGAAAGAGTAAAATAAACTGATCGCCTGAGAGCCTTGCATCAGCTCTGGAATTTTCCTCATCTGTTACTTTCAGATAGTGTAAATATTTTGGAAAGACAAGAAATTATGTGATCTTGTGAAGCAGGACATTCTTCTATTTGGTGGATTCTATACTTATTCTCCTGTATTTTTGTGACCCTTGAAGAGTTTAACAACCAGTGAAATCATCACGACCAGGTGAACCAGTGGAAGAAATATATAAGCATGAGCACACAATGATTTAAATGACATGTGACAGTCTATTAGTAAAGTTTAAAATCTAGTGATTAACTTTTTATTTGTAGACTACTTCATTTTTAATTTTTTTTATTGAAAAGATACTGTACAGAGGGGTTACAGTTACACAAGTAAGATAATGAGTACATTTCCTATCTAGCATTGTTACCTCCTCCTTTATTTTTACCCTACCATCTCTCCTCTCCCCCCCCTTAACCACCCCCTCTCCAAGCTGCAAAGTTCATTTTCAACATAGTATCTCATATGTCTCATTGTTTAAATGGGTGAACCTGTATCCTTATTTCTTATTTTGTTATGTCCCTTCTTCTCCCAAAATTAGAAAATGTATATACAGGATGCAGGGCACCAGAATCAAATACAGTGACAAGAAGGGTTATACCATGCGGGAAAAACATACATTAAAAACACCACCATTGGGCTGGGAAGATGGCTCAGTGGTAGAGTGCTTGCCTTGAATGCATGAGGCCCTGGGTTCGATTCTTCAGCACCACGTAAGCGGAAAAATCCAGAAGTGGTGCTATGGCTCAAGTGCTAGAACACTAGCCTTGAGCCTTGAGCTGAGGGACAGTGCCCTGGCCAACCGACAAAAAAAATAAAAAAAATAAAAAATAAAAACAACACCATTAAATGTAATCTTTAGCTGGCATTTGTTTACTTTTTACTTGTTTACCTTTTTAAAATGTAACCATATATTTTATGTATTTAGTGTAATTAATGTATATTTTCATCCATATTTTACATTTCCTTATTTTAACAGAATGTGACATGATTTCATCTTACCTTTGTTGATTCAGATAAAACTTATTACGATGATGAAGGTAATTGAAAATCGATCAATTCTTCCTTATGCAGACACTCTCAAGCAGAAAGTGTTCAGTTCCTTGATGGGAATATGAAGGAATGTATAGAAGGCTGGCAATGGGGCACAATGAAAATCATATCCAATTTAAAAACACCTCTATGCTTCAGTTATTAACTGAAATCCTGCCTAAAATTATGTCCAAAGAAAAGTAAGTGCTACAGCCTTTTATAGCATCAAAATGATTCCTTTCTCCACATAAAAATGCCTTAGAATGAAATTGTATAATATAGAAGTCAAGTATAATCAACATGCTTTGTGACTCTCCACAAATGCAGATGGTCCATGTAATTTTCTATCAGGCCTGAGTGAGGAACTAGATACATCCAGGCTTTGTCAGGAAGAATCCTTCCTCTGATATTTTGCCTTTCCTCTTATACTTCCATAGGGAAATCTAAAATAAAGCACTGAGGGTTGCAAATCAGATTTTCAAAAACAACTAAAGCAATCCTCTCCAAATACATTGGAAATTTTGATATGTCAAACTATCTACAGTTTTTCATAAGAAGTGACCATCAGTTACTGATGCTCACTAAGTGTCAGGCATTGAATAAATCATAAAAAAAAAACTTGGGGACTGTATTCTTAGCTACTAAGAAGAATGAGACTGGAGGATCTATCTGGGTTTGAAGCCAGGCTGAGCAGGAATGATTGTGAGACTCTTCTCCAATTAACCTCCAAAAGGCCAGAAGCAGAGCAGAGCTCAAGTAGTAGAACTGTAGTTTTGATAAAAAAAAATCATGGACATCACCCAGGCCCCTGAGTTGAACCCCAGATTTGACACAAAACAAAAATAAAACAAGAAAATATGATGAAGAGTTTGAATACCTTAATTGGGAAAAAACAGTTAAGTATAACTTCACAGAAAGTCAGAATAAGGAGAAACAAGCCAGTATTTTGAAATACATAAAAATAGTAGCAGACATTTTAAGCCTTAGCAATTGATGCTTTTTGCTTCTTATTGTAGAAATGGTACTGAAGAGGGGAGGCTACCTACTTAAGTATCATTGCAAGGTTTGGAAAGCTGCAACGATTCATATTCCCAAGGCATTTTTAAGAAACTCTGGCCAAATGCTGCCTTGACACTGACAGTGGAAACTTCCCCAAGAGTCTCTGAGAAACTATACTTTCTACATTTGGGTTTGCCTGCTTCTGGCACCATTACTCTTCAGGTTCTATTGAGATAACCAGATAGTGCAATTCAGGAAACTGCCTGCTCCTTGTTCTTCCATAATTCTGAAAAAAAGAGAAGGAAATAATGCAGTTTAAAACTACTAGACTAAGTCTCATAAATCTGATATGGTAAATGACCAAGAGAATCAAAGGTACATATTAGCTGTGTATTACTTTTAAACAAACATGTAGACAGATACTTAGCATCTATCACCTCCAATATCTAAATAAATTGTACCAAGTGTCTTGATAGCAGAGCAAACCTGGAGTTGATGGTTGCGGAATGATAAACAAGGAGGAGAAACACAGAATGTTGAACATCATATACCCTTACACTGCATAGTTGAAATCATATATACACCATGTGTATAAAGTACTTTGATCATATTAATATGTCTTCACACTTTCTTATTGTTTTCTCCATCTCACTGGTAATGCTATCTATGGAAGTCTCTGTTTTTCACTCCTTTTATTCATTTTCTAAAGGCTATATTCTGCATATGAGAGAGGAAGGTAATATTTGTCTTTGTCAAGTTGTATATTTACTTGGCAAGGTCACAGCAAATGTTTCCTACGTATGGAACTATTTAATCCTTCTGTACAGCTGATAATAATCGTTACACATATGCTCCCCTCTCCTTTTTTCATTCTTTGGTAATTGTGTACCCAGGCTGATTCTATACTTTGGCTCCTGTAAACAATACTGCTTTTTATGTGGGTGTCAACGTACTTCAAATAATACCAACTTATTTTTTTTCAGGAGTAGTAAAACAAGATCATGAGGTAAATCTGTTCTCTTCAATGTCTTCACTAATTTGTATTCACACCAATAGAGTATGAGGGTCTCTGATCTTTCATTTTCCTAGCATTGATTGTTGTTTGTTTGCTTGATAATAGTCATTCTGATTGGGGCAAGATGCAAGTTCATTGATGGTTTGTTTTCATTGATTTGTGTTAAAGGATTGCATATTCTTCATGTATTTATTAAGCCCTTTCTACTTTATCTTTACAGAAATGTATCTTCAACTCTTTTTCACGTTTCTTAATTACAATCTCTGTTAGTATGTGTTTAATTTTTGGAGCTATTTATTCATTTTGGATATTAGTACTTTTTTTAAAAGTACTGATAAAGGTGTAGCTATTGTAAATTATATAGCTTCATAGGTTAAAAAAAAAACAGTAAACCAAGCAATGTTATTTAAAAAAAAAGGAAATGGGGCAGACACTGGTGACTCTCTCCTGTAATACTAGCCACTCAGGAGGCTATGATTCGAGGATTCTGGTTCAAAGGCAAGCCAGGCTGGAAAGTCCATGAAACTCTTATCACTAATAAACTACTTTGAAAAAAGCTCAGAGTGGAGCTGTGGGTCAAGTGGTAGGGCAAGCAAAACAAGATTAAGGACAGTGCTCAAACCCTGAACTCAAGCCACGGAACTGGTAATAAATGAATAAATAAGTGAATGAATGATTGAATGAATGAATTAATTAATAAATAAATAGATAAATAAGGATACTTTTCTTTGACAACAAATATAGGTGATAACAGACAAATTCTCAATGTCTCTAATTGGTGGAGATATAAAGATCAAAACTATAATGTGATCTTTTCTCATTTCTGTCATAACTACTGTCATAAAGATAAAGGATAACGATGGGGTTGAAAACGTGAAGGGAAGAAAATCTTGTACCCTATTGATATAGTATAATTTAGCAAAACTGTTATGGAAGATTTTAAGCTGGATTTTCAAACACTAAAAAAGAAGTACCACATGGCCCTACAGTCCTATAATTTGGTATGTGACTAAATGACTTGAAAAACAAAAGTCTGTGAAACAGATTCCTGAACTTTCATGTTCATAGAAATGATCATCATGTCAAGTTTTGTAACTGACATATATTTTCATCCAAGAATACATCAATGAAGAGAGTATGCTACATATATGTTCTCACAAACATTGAGAATATTTGATATTTTCAAGTAGGTGAGCTTAATCTTCACATTATTTTAAAAATAATAACAATATTTTAGAACCTGTATTATAGAAGTGGTCAGATGCAGAAGAGAGATATAAGGACTATCATCCTTCCCACATCTGTCACTACATCTTGCTTCTTCCTGTGTGACACTCGTGTACTGTCAG